CCCCCCCCCCATACTGTGCCCTTCTGCCTCCTCCCTGTACTGTTCCCTCCTGCCCCCCCCCCCCCCCCATACTGTGCCCTTCTGCCTCCTCCCCCTGTACTGTGCCCTCCTGCCCCCCCCCCCCCCCTATACTGTGCCCTCCTGCCCCCCCCCCCTATACTGTGCCCTTTGTGTTGATTAGCCTGATTTATGTTATGTTTTCTTATTGTTTAAAACTAATTTTACTAAAAGTCCTAATATGTATATGTTTAATTCTATCAATGATTTATACTTTAATTCTTGAGAGTAGGTGTGTAAATTGGGGCAGGCTATTAGGGGCCCCAGTGAATTACTTTGCCCAGGGGCCCATGATGCTATTAAGATGGCCCTGCCTGGATGCAGCATAGCCAACCAGAACACTGCTCCGGGGAACCAAAGAGAAGCCAAGTTTCCCTTAATTTCCTTTCCAGCTGCAGTACCACTCCGGACAAGCTCCACCTACAATATGGAGCCCCACCCCCAATACAACAAGCTATGAGGAGCAAACATGTAAAATGTGAAATTCAAATCAAACATCATTTCAATGTATATTAATGTTACTTTAGCACTGAGCTCCGGTAGAAACTGCAAAAATAACTTAAAATATTGTTACTTAGTTTCAAAGACTGAAAAAAATGACTGGTCCATCCAGGGGCGGACTGACCATTTAGAAACTCGGGCACTGCCCGAGGGCTCAGGGTCAGTAGGGGGCCCCATGAGATGCCCCTGGTACCTTTTTCATAGGCTTTTTTGAGTTTGGGCAAGGACACAGGGGCCCCATGATCCCCTATTGCCCGGAGGCCCCATAAGTTGTCAGTCCGCCCCTGGGTCCATCTGGTTCAATCTTTTCCCATAGGCCGGTATATTCTGCTTCCTGAGGAAGACATCAGAAAGTTTTTTTTAAGTCATCCACGCTCTCAGCTATTACCACTTCCTCAGTGAAGGTGTTAAACATTTTACTGCTCTAACAGTAAAGAACTCTTTCCATAAGCAAAAGTTAAACTTTCTTTCTTTTTAACCTCAAATCGTGGTCACATGTCCTCTTCAGGGACCTTAGAGTAAACAGTCTATTGCGGTTACTGGGGTCATATTTTTGTACATTGTAATCATATCCCCTCTAATTTCCTATTCTTCAGGGTGAATAACGGTAATCCCTGTCATCGATCCCCATAGCTGAGGTTCTCTATCCCCCCATAGCTGAGGTTCTCCATCCCCCAATGCTGAGGATCTCCATCCCCCATAGCTGAGCTCCTCCATCCCCCATTGCTGAAGTCCTCCATCTATCTTTTCAATGTTGTTGCCCTTCGCTGACTGTAACAACGTTTTTCCTGAGGATTGGTGACCAAAACTGAACTGCATATTCCAGATGTGGACGAACCATTGATTTGTAAAGGGGCAGAATGAATGATTGATCCAGATCCTTTTCCATCTCCGATTCTTCCAGGGGAGCCCCTCCTGTTGATAACTTTTCATTGTTCAATATTGAACCTCATCTCCCCTGTAGCTGCCCATTTCCCTGTTTTATTAAAGTCTTCCTGTAATGATTCTACATTCTGTAATAAAGGTATTTCCTGGCACAATTTGGTATTATCAGCAAACACAGAAATTGAGCTCTACATTCCAACCTCTGCATCAATAATAAACAAATTGAACAGCATTGGCCCCAAGACAGAACCCTGGGGCCCATCACTGCTCTCTGGACCCGTTCATGTATTCCGTTTCCTATCCATGTACATACAATCACATCAACTCCAAAAAAACTTTGTGATGTTTAGATGAAACACAGATCTATAAAAACTCCACCCAATGAACTTCCACCATCCAGCTTCGCACTTACCTCCTCATAGATAACAGGTTGGTCTGACAAGTCTGGTCTTTCAAAAATTCATGCTGGTTGTCACTTATAACACCTTTATCACAGACAAATTTCTATATAGAGTCCCTTTCCATTAGCTCCAATTCCTTACATACTATCGATGTTAGGCTGACTGGTCTGTAGTGTTCTGGTAGACATCTCTATCCATTTTTGTAAATCGGTACCACATTTGCTGTACAAAAGATACCGCTATACATAGCTTTTTATTTGCTTAGGATATGCAGCATGTGACCATTATATGTACAGTCTCCTCCTTGCTGTAATCAGGCCGTGGGAGGGGAGCGGGGATCTGAGTTCACAGCCTGTAGCCTATACTGATTGGGTAGCAGAGGATCCAACTCCCTATTCTAAAGGGGCCAAGTGCAGCGAGCAGCAGGGAGCAGTGATCTAACTTTACTGCCTGGGAGAATTACTGAAGGGGTAGCTGAGAACATAAGCAGCTGTAACACCCTGCTGTGATACTGCTTGCAGGATGTTAAATGGACACAAGATGGCAGCATCTTGCAGTCCAGTTGTGCAGACTTTGTTGCAAAGCTTTGTGGGATTCATAGGCGGACTGCAGGACTTTGCTGGTCTGACAGCTGGCTAACAAACTACATTTCCCAGAGGAGCTGGCGTGTGGGCGGAGGCAGATAAATACAGAAGCCCGGGAAACTGGGGCAGGGAGTGAGAGCTGGAAAACAGAGGGGGAGGAGAAGGCCCTGTGGGATGCCAGAGGACAGGGCCAAGCTGGGCTGCAGAGAGAGAGAAGGGAGAAGGAGAAGCTACTGACCGCTGACACCGCCGACGAGTCTAGTGAGCTGTTCCACAGGCTGGAGTTCCGGAGTGATCTCTGAAGGAGGAACCACCAGAATATTGGGTACCCCCATCTGCAGAGAGACCATCAGCTACCTAATCGGTGCCACAGATCAGGTGAGAGAGCTCCTTTCTAAAGCTTTTTAAATCACCAATGACATTATTGAAGTTGCTGCTTTCTGCCCAAGTTCACCTGACACTGTTCACAACTTACACATGTCAAGGCCTGGTTCACTCGGCCTACCATTTACTACACTTCCAGCATAATCCAAGTGCAAGAGCCCACTGCTGTGTCTTGCCCTTCGCAAATTAGGCCACGCCATTGCTTCCACCGCAGTCGGCCCACATTCACCAAAGAGTTCCTGCATTGCTACAGTGTGCCACAGGGGTCGTAAGAGGAATTAATCCCTATAAAGAGGGTTTCTGCTCATCCTTTAATCCTCTGCCAACATTTATATCTTGCCCTGAATGGGTTAAAAGGAAGCCCCTTTCCTCTTTATTCACACCTTACTGAGGAACTTCTACATTTGCTTCCAGAGGAATTTTAGTTCTTAAAGTGCACCAACTCGGGCCCCATGGAGCGCGCAGAAGATCTTATGCTGCCATTTAAAAGGACAGTGACTTACTCAATTCAAGATTTCCCTTTCTGTAGCCTCAGAATTGAGCACTGTCACATGCTCCTGAGACCCCGAAGTCAGCTAGCCTAGCCGCAGTGCTTGGTAGTTTCCATCTCAGGTCCGGGATTACTAGGTAAATTCTGAATTGCAGGACTTCCAGAACTGATTGAGATTTTGCTGTGTGTGATTTTTTTTTGCCTAAAATTTCTCCAAGTGATAACTATTATTTCTTGCACAAACGTTCCTGATGGTTTACTGAGCCAACATTTAATCTTAATACAACTAAGATTTCAGTTCACTCTAACCTGGGAGTATATTTTATGTTTGCAGTCAGAGGGTCCTTCAGGCTAGAGGTTTGAGGTAGAGTCAGCAGGGGTTGGGCTTTCAGAGTGGGGCTAGGCAAGACAGGGAACCCAAAATAAATTACTCAGCGAACCCCCGAGGGGGTAGTGCTACATAGCTTTACATCATAGTCATTACATCACCTCTGTAGACCTGAAAACTACACAGGGGGTGTTTGGGACAGCCAGTTCGGGCAGGAAGAGGCTATGCTATGCTGGGGATCCTGCAGATGGAAGTCTACCATTAATCATTTGGAGAGTGAAGACTTTGTGAAGAACCCCTTATCAGTGGGATATATTTTCATCACAACTATCTGCCTATGTGGGAGAACAAACCCCTCTTTGTGTCTTTCCTTTAACCCCCACCCCCACCAGCCCCAACCACCAATCCCTGTGTCAGGAACATGATGTCAGCCATCAGAGAGATTATGCCAGCCATAAGGTACGTGCTCATTTGCATAAACATACACACGTTTCTAAGCCTTGGGAGCCTAAACAGGCAAGGATGCATGGGCACATCATTGCTGGATGGTCCCATCGCTTGGATCTGTTACACTATATTGCCAAAAGTATTAGCTGGCCTTTCCACGCACATGACCTTTATTGGCCCCCCAGTCTTAGTCCATTCAATATTGAGTTGGCCCCGCCCTTCCCACACACATGACTTTAATGGCCCCCCAGTCTTAGTCCGTAGGGTTCAATATTGAGTTGGCCCCGCCCTTTGCAGCTATAACAGCTTCAACTCTTCTGGGAAGGCCGCCCACAAGGTTTAGGAGGGTGTCTATGGGAAGGTTGGACCATTCTTCCAGAAACACATTTGTCAGGTCAGGCACTGATGTCGGGGGAGGAGGCCTGGCTCGCAGTCTCCGCTCTAATTCATCCCAAAGGTGTTCTATGGGGTTGAGGTCAGGACTCTGTGCAGGACAGTCAAGTTCCTCCACCCCAAACTGGCTCCTCCATGTCTTTATGGACCTTGCTTTGTGCACTGGTGCGCAGTCATGTTGGAACAGGAAGAGGCCATCCCCAAACTCCTCCCACAAAGGTGGGAGCATGAAATTGTCCAAAATGTTGCCTTAGGAGTTCACTTCACTGGAACTAGGGGGCCAAGCCCAACCCCTTAAAAATAACCCCACACCAGAAACTCCCCTCCACCAAACTTTACACTTGGCACAATGCAGTCTCCATTGCTCTAGAGTCCAGCTCTCTACGCACTGTTGTTGGGCTCATCTGAAGGCCACACCAAGTTTGGAGGTCTTTAGCTATTGACTCTGCAGACAGTTGGCGACTTCTGTGCACTGTGCGCTTCAGCATGCGCTGACCCCGCCCTGTCATGTGACGTGGCCTACCACTTGGTGGCTGAGTGGCTGTTGTTCCCAGTGGCTTCCCACTAACAGTTGAGCGTGGAATATTTAGTAGCCAGGAAATGTCACGGATGGACTTATTGCACAGGTGGCCACCTATCACGGGACCACGCTTGGAGTCACTGAGCTCCTGAGAGCGACCCATTCTTTCACCAATGTTTGTAGAAGCCGTCTGCATGCCTAGGGGCTTGATTGTATACACCTGTGTCCATGGAGGGGATTGGAACACCTGAATCACATGAATCAACACCTGAATCACATGATTGGGAGGGCGGGGCCAATACTTTTGGCAATATATTGCATCACTAATCCTGAATCCTACTTGACTCTGTTATTGACCCGGCTTTCATCTGACTGGCTCTGGATTCCCCCCGTCCGTTTATGTCTGCTGCCTAACTGTGTTATTGACCTCGGCCTGGACTCTTGACCAAGATTCTGCCTATCAATTCTGTACCCCTTTGCCTGCATGTTGCTCGTCTCTGACCTTGACCCTGCTCCTATTTTGGTGCCATCCTGCCTGGCTGTTACCAAACTCGTCTTGTGATCCGGCTCTGCCCTCTACTGGTCTAGGTGAAGTCGGGGTGCTCCCATCACTGTGCTTCTGTTTCTTTGACCCCGGCTCCCCCAAGTTCAAGTCTGCGGTTCCAGCTTCATGGCACCTGCATCCCCCCATTGTCCTAGCCGTTCCTGCCTCAACCTTCAACGTTGCTCATCTCAAGCTCCTGATAGATATGTGAAACACTGGCTGGACCAGGGGCGGACTGACCATTTGGAAACTCGGGCACTGCCCTAGGGCCCGGGGTCAGTAGGGGGCCCCATGAGATGCCCCTGGTACCTTTTTCATAGGCTTTTTTGAGTTTGGGCAAGGACACAGGGGCCCCATGATCCCCTATTGCCCGGGGGCCCTATGAGTTGTCAGTCCGCCCCTGGGCTGGACCCACCAAAATCGTGTCCCTCCCCCTCAGCTTGCCTGTACTAGGCCACCCTCCAATATTTTGCAACTGGCTTCAAGTTCTTCAAAGTCTGATTTATGTCAAAAGTTTGATTTACCGCGGGAACCATCTTAGGGCGGCGGGATAACGTTTTGTAGCTGCCGTCTCTCATTTATTTATCTTTGTCCTTTTTTTTTATCACGGCGTTGAATGATACCCCGCCAGCCTGTTTGTATTGCTGCAAAATGTATGCGTTCAGAACAAAGCTTAACCTTTTTAACAATTTACATTGTGGGATGGAAGGGAAGGAACGCCGTGTATTCCTATTCATAGCTCATACAAAATGAGCCGATTCAAATGGCGGAGAGAAAAAAAATATTTCCCCTGCAAACGACTCCTTAAATTTTCACAGCGATCTGCGGGAATGTAAAGGAGCCTAACAAAGGATGATAATAATTATTATAATGAGGCAGCACAAGCTGTAATTGAATTGAAGGACTACATTACCAAAGCAAATTACCGCTGAAACATTTCTGACGCCTTCTTGTAGCATTCTCTCGGCAGAGAAAAAAATCCCCTTTATGTCCCGGCAAACAAAGGATCCAGTTTACGTTACAAAGAGGACATCCACGTGTGCGCAAAGACTTATCTCCAACAATGGAGAGGAGAAGGAGGAGATTTACACAGGGAATGCTGCGGAATCAAAGTAAAAGTCTGGACACATTGCTGAATTCCATACATGTGAAGCCGCTCCATTCCAAAGAATTCTGCAATTCCTGATGTAGATAGGTCTGTGACCCCCCCCCCCCCCCCGGTACAAATCATTAGTAAGACCTCATCTGGAATATGCAGTTCAGTTTTGGGCTCCAACTCACAAAAAGAACATTGGGGGACTGGAGAAAGTACAGAGAAGGGCAACCAAACTGATACGAGGCATGGAGGAGATCAGCTATGAGGAGAGATTAGAGGAATTGAATGTATTCTCTACTGAGAAGAGGAGATTAAGGGGGGATATGATCTCCATGTATAATACATAAGGGGGATATGATCTCCATGTATAATACATAAGGGGGGGATATGATCTCCATGTATAATACATAAGGGGGGATATGATCTCCATGTATAATACATAAGGGGGGATATGATCGCCATGTATATACATAAGGGGGATATGATCTCCATGTATAATACATAAGGGGGGATATGATCTCCATGTATAATACATAATGGGGGGGGGATATGATCTCCATGTATAATACATAAGGGGGGATATGATCTCCATGTATAATACATAAGGGGGATATGATCTCCATGTATAATACATATAATATGTATAACATAAGGGGGATATGATCTCCATGTATAATACATAAGGGGGGATATGATCTCCATGTATAATACATAAGGGGGGGGGATATGATCTCCATGTATAATACATAAGGGGGGATATGATCTCCATGTATAATACATAAGGGGGGATATGATCTCCATGTATAATACATAAGGGGGGGATATGATCTCCATGTATAATACATAAGGGGGGATATGATCTCCATGTATAATACATAAGGGGGGATATGATCTCCATGTATAATACATAAGGGGGGATATGATCTCCATGTATAATACATAAGGGGGATATGATCTCCATGTATAATACATAAGGGGGGATATGATCTCCATGTATAATACATAAGGGGGGATATGATCTCCATGTATAATACATAAGGGGGGGGATCTCCATGTATAATACATAAGGGGGATATGATCTCCATGTATAATACATAAGGGGGGGGGGATATGATCTCCATGTATAATACATAAGGGGGGATATGATCTCCATGTATAATACATAAGGGGGGGGGGATATGATCTCCATGTATAATAATAAGGGGGGATACATGTATAATACATAAGGGGGATATGATCTCCATGTATAATACATAAGGGGGAAGGGATATGATCTCCATGTATAATACATAGGGGGGGATATGATCTCCATGTATAATACATAAGGGGGGATATGATCTCCATGTATAATACATAAGGGGGGATATGATCTCCATGTATAATACATAAGGGGGGATATGATCTCCATGTATAATACATAAGGGGGGATATGATCTCCATGTATAATACATAAGGGGGGATATGATCTCCATGTATAATACATAAGGGGGATATGATCTCCATGTATAATACATAAGGGGGGATATGATCTCCATGTATAATACATAAGGGGGGATATGATCTCCATGTATAATACATAAGGGGGATATGATCTCCATGTATAAATACATAAGGGGGATATGATCTCCATGTATAATACATAAGGGGGGATATGATCTCCATGTATAATACATAAGGGGGGATATGATCTCATACTTGAGTCTACTAGAATTGACTACTATGAAGGAAAATAGGGAAACACAGAATAGTGTCTGCAGGGGCCACACAAGAATTGCCAAAGGTCCGCATGTGGCCCCTGGACCTCAGGTTGGGCACCATGGACCTACACCATCCATGCATGTGTGAAAAGATATCGGCACCTTCGGTAGCGGCTGCTGTTTAAATCTAATATGTTGATGATAAAACCTGTAAAGGTTCCTTGTGCTGGGAATGTGGTTCTTTCTACTCTCAGTAATTAGTGGTGACACTCTCGGGGCCCCCAGGTACGCGCCGAGATAAAGCACAGCTGCTGACAGAAAGGAAGCCAGACTCTCCACGGTAAGACCGACACATCTAATGAACATGTTCTCCTCGTCCCCGAGCTGATAAAGTGTCTTCATTCCATTTGCCTCCATCCAACCCGAGGTAAGCCTGTCAGTAGACTGTCTAATCCGTGTCATTCTGAAGCGATGCGAGTGAGACTCCTGTACTGATAACGTACTACAAAGGTGCAGCCGTAATACACAGACAGATCTCGCCGCTTGTGGAAGATATAATGTGCGACAACCCACAGCAACCGGTATGAGTTCAACTACGCTCAACGGGTCAACGGTTCCCACCGGTTATTGGAGGTCAGCATAGACCTTCACTCCTTCCTATCTCCTCCCCCCTTGTTGGGCGTTGGTGCACCCCCATGTCCTGGGAACACCATATGGTGTGCATTATACACGACAAACCGCCATAACATTATGACCACCCACCTAATATTGAGTAGGTCCCTCTGTCCTGACCAGGGGCGGATTGACAACTCATGGGGCCCCTGGGCAACAGGGGATCATGGGGCCCCTGTGTCCTTGCCCAAACTCAAAAAGCCTATGAAAAAGGTATCAGGGGCATCTCATGGGGCCCCCTACTGACCCCGGGCCCTTGGGTAGTGCCCGAGTTTCCAAATGGTCAGTCCGCCCCTGGTCCTGACCCATCATGGTGTGGACTCCACTAGCAGGGCTGCTGTTAGAAGTCACGGGGCCACATACACCAACCCAACAGGGCCCCTCCCCCAAAAATCACCCAAAGTTTTCTATGCTTCAGTTATGAATGAATACAGTGAGTGATCGGCACCGAACACTCATAGTGTTCATTCAGGAAAGAGAGGGGCTAGTAAATGCAACATATTTACTGGAACCGTCCACCAACGTCCATCCTCAAGGATCCTATTGTGTGCTTGCAGCTGCCGGTAGGAAGGAGAGGAGGGAAGTCGATGCGGTGGTGGCCCACATGGAAGAAGAATATATCTGAAATGCTACAATTGTGGCCGTATTCAATATATTTCAAAATATATTCCAATAAATATATATTTACTGCATGCTGAAATGCGTTTTTATTACAAAATATATGAAAAATATTTAAAAAAATAAATTTCAAATATACTGCATGTCTTTAACCCCCCTGGATGTATTCCTGAGTGTAGCTCGGGGTAAAGTTTCAGCACCACAAACTGTGACCCCCCCCCCCCCCCCCCGAGCTACACTCGGGAATACACTGCAACGTTGCTCCGGGATCTCTTCTTCTCTTACCTTGTCCTGTGTTCCCGCGATGTCCCTCCTGCAGTGTCCCCTGTAATGTCCTCCGGCCGATGCCGGCATCCATCTTCCGGGTTCCATTCCCTGCGACGTCGGGACGTACGGGGGATGGAACTGGCGGGAAATTTGAAAATGACAAAAAGTGACATTCACTAAATCCACTAAAATCACATCGTATAACATTCCTGTATCAAACCATTTCACATACATTGTGTCCCGAGTGCTTTGTCCGGCGCCCTGCCTGCATTTTTACCGCCCTTTCTGCCTGGAAACTGAGAAACATCCATGGCGTCCAAAAAGCGTCCCTTTAGGTCAGACGCGGTTTTAGACCGGCTAGAGAACAGCGATAGTAAATCAGAACCACTTGCAGAATTGAGTGATAATGATTGGTGGGGGAAATTCCTCATCAGACACTGAAAACGATTCTGCGACTGAGCTCAGCGATGGGCCAACTTGGCGCTATATTTCACATTTCAGTGTTTTTGGTGATTATATTATTCAATTACATTTATTATTATATTATTATTATTAATGATTATTTATTAAATTATAATTTATGATTTCGTGTTTCAAGTTTTATCCTCCCCGGGATGTTTACTAGACTCTTGTCCGGACAGATTTCAGGGAGTTATTCCTAAGAATTACAGGACTACAATAAAAAAACTACATATTTCCATGCAAAAAAATGTACCACTTTGAGCACAGAAATACTGACATCATCAGACCGCCAGGGAGGTTAAAAATATAAATCTACATTTTTGGAATGCATATAAAAATATATGTTAAATGACTTTTTTATATGTTAAAAAAAATCTGAAGAATATATTTAAAAATATATATTTAAAAAAAAATATTTTTCATATATTTTATAATATATAAAAAATGCATTTAAACATGCAGTATATGTATGTGTGTGCATTATATATATATATTTATTGAAATATATTGAAAATGGGCCAAAATTCTGGCATTTCAAATATATGTCAATAAATATATACATACAGTGAAGGAAATGTGTATTTGCTCCCCTGCTGATGCTGAATGTTCGCCCCTCACACAGAAATGATCGGTCTAACAATGGAATGTTCGCCCCTCACACAGAAATGATCGGTCTAACAATGGAATGTTCGCCCCTCACACAGAAACGATTGGTCTAACAATGGAATGTTCGCCCCTCACACAGAAATGATCGGTCTAACAATGGAATGTTCGCCCCTCACACAGAAATGATCGGTCTAATAATGGAATGTTCGCCCCTCACACAGAAACGATCGGTCTAACAATGGAATGTTCGCCCCTCACACAGAAATGATCGGTCTAACAATGGAATGTTCGGTGTAACACTGAGAGACAGAATACAACAACAAATTCAGCAGAAATGCGTCTAACAAATGATGACGGATCTGCATGTTCATGAGGGAAAGAAGGATTTGATTCCCTATCATTCAGCAGGATTTCTGGCTCCCAGGTGTCTCTCATACAGGTAACAAGCTGAGATTAGAAGCAGTCTCTTAAAGGGAGTGCTGCTAATCTCATTGTGTTACCTGTATAAAAGACACCTGTCCACAGGAGCCATCAAACCATCAGATTCCAAACTCTCCACCATGGCAAAGACCAAAGAGCTGTCCAAGGATGTCAGGGACAAGATGGTAGACCTACACAAGGCTGGACTGGGCTACCAAACTATGGCCAAGCAGCTTGGTGAGAAGGTGACAACAGTTGGTGCAATCATTCACAAATGGAAGAAACACAAAACAAGTGTCAGTCTCCCTAGGTCTGGTGCTCCATGCAAGATCTCACCTCGTGGAGTGTCAATGATCATGAGAACAGCGAGGAATCATCCCAGAACTACACGTGAGGATCTTGTCAATGATCTCCAGGCAGCTGGGACCACAGTCACCAAGAAAACAATTGGTAACACACTACGCCGACAAGGACTGAAATCCTGCAGTGCCCGCACGGTCCCTCTGCTCAAGAAAGCACATGTCCAGGCCCGTCTGAAGTCTGCCACTGAACATCTGAATGATGCAGAGGAGGACTGGTGGAAGTGTTGTGGTCAGAGGAGACCAAAATCCAGCTCTTTGGCATCAACTCAACTCACCGTGTTTGGAGGAGGAGGAATGCTGCCTATGACCTCAAGAACAGCATCCCAACTGTGAAACATGGTGGTGGAAACATTCTGCTTTGGGGGTGTTTTTCTGCTAAGGATAAGGACAACTACACCGCATCAATGGGACGATGGACGGGGCAATGTACCCTCAAATCTTGGGTGAGAACCTTCTTCCCTCAGCCAGGGCATTGAAAATGGGTGGTGGATGGGTGTTCCAGCATGACAATGACCCAAAACACACGGCCAAGGCAACAAAGGAGCGGCTCAAGAAGAAGCACATTGAGGTCCTGGAGTGGCCTAGCCAGTCTCCACACCTTCATCCGATTGAAAATCTGTGGAGGGAGCTGAAAGTTTGAGTTGCCAAACGTCAGCCACCAAACCTTAATGACTTGGAGAGGATCTGCCAAGAGGAGTGGGCCAAAATCCCCCCTGAGATGTGTGCGAACCTGGGGGCCAACTCCAGGAAACGTCTGACCTTTATGATTGCCAACAAGGGATCTGCCACCAAGTACTAAGTCATGTTTTGTGAAGGGGATCCAATCCTTCTTTCCCTCATGAACATGCAGATCAGTCATCATTTGTTAGACGCATTTCTGCTGAATTTGTTGTTGTATTCTGTCTCTCAGTGTTACACCGAACATTCCATTGTTAGACCGATCATTTCTGTGTGAGGGGCGAACATTCCATTGTTAGACCGATCATTTCTGTGTGAGGGGCGAACATTCCATTGTTAGACCGATCATTTCTGTGTGAGGGGCAAACATTCCATTGTTAGACCGATCGTTTCTGTGTGAGGGGCGAACATTCACCATCGGGGGGGCAAATACACATTTCCTGCACTGTATATACACTGCATGTTGAAATGCCTTTTTTATATATTACAAAATATTTGTAAAAATATATTTATTTTTAAATACAGTTGCAAGAAAAAGTATGTGAACCCCTTGGGATTACGTGGAGTTTTGCATGAATTGGCCATAAAATGTGCTCTGAACGTCATCTAAGTCACAACAATAGAAGAACACAGTCTGCTGAACATAATACTACACAAACATTAGATGTTGCCATGGTTTAATTGCACATAACATGTAAACATTCACAGTGCAGGGAGGAAAAAGTATGTGAGGCCCTAGCTTAATGACTTCTCCCAGAGCTAATTGGAGCCAGGAGTGAGCCAACCTTGACTCCAATCAGTGTGTGATGATATTGGATGTGTTGCTGACACCTGTTTTGGGTTTACTGGTTTCAAGAAGCACTGTCTGATGTGAACCATGCCTCGCAGAAAAGAGCTCTCAGAAGACCTACCAACAAGAATTGTTGACTTGCATGAAGCTGGAAAGGGTTACAAAAGTATCTCCTTGAGCCTTGATGTTCATGTGTCCACGGTAAGACAGACTGTCTACAAATGGAGAAAGTTTAGCACTGTTGCTACTCTCCCTAGGCGTGGTCGTCCTGTAAAAATGACTGCAAGAGCCCAGCGCAGAATGCTGCATGAGGTAAAGAAGAATCCCAGAGTGTCAGCTAAAGACCTACAGAAATCTCTGGCACATGCTGACATTTTTGTTGACACATCTACAATCAAGGAAAACATGAAACAAGAATGGAGTACATGGGAGGACACCACGGAGGAAGCCATTGCTGGCCAAAAAGAAGATTGCAGCACGTTTGAAGTTTGCAAAAGAGCACCTGGATGTTCCACAGCACTACTGGCAGAATATACTGTGGACAGATGACACCAAGATTGAGTTGTTTGGGAAGAACACACAACACTATGTGTGGAGAAAAAAAGGCCCAGCACACCAACATCAAAACCTCATCCCCACTGTGAAACATGGCGGAGGGAGCATCATGGTTTGGGGCTGCTTTGCTGCCTCAGGACTGGACGGATTGTTGTCATTGATGGGAAAAATGAATTCCAGAGTTTATCAAGACATTTTGCAGGAAAACGTACGACCATCTGTCCGCCAACTGAAGCTCCGCAGAGGATGGGTGATGCAACAGGACAATGACCCAAAGCATACAAGTCATTCAACAAAACAATGGCTGCAACAGCACAGAATACGCCTTCTGGAGTGGCCCAGTCAGAGTCCTGACCTCAACCCCATTGAAATGCTGTGGCATGACCTTAAGAGAGCGATTCACACCAGACATCCCAAGAATATTGCTACACTGAAACAGTTTTTGTGAAGAGGAGTGGTCCAAAATGACTCCAGATCGTTGTGCAGGTCTGATCTGCAACTACAGGAAACGTTTGGTTGAGGTTATTGCTGCCAAAGGAGGGTCAACCAGTTATTAAGTCCAAAGGTTCACATACTTTTTCCTCCCTGCACTGTGAATGTTTACATGTTATGTGCAATTAAACCATGGCAACATCTAATGTTTGTGTAGTATTATGTTCAGCAGACTGTGTTCTTCTATTGTTGTGACTTAGATGACGTTCAGAGCACATTTTATGCCCAATTCATGCATAACTCCACGGAATCCCAAGGGTTCACATACTTTTTCTTGCAACTGTAGATTTTTCATTGGCAAACTTCAGACAGGCTGGACTTGTGCCTTCTTGAGGAGGGGGGACCTTGCAGGCACTGCAGGATTTCAGTCCATGGTGGTTATCAGTGGTTTGTTCAGTGACTGTGGTCCCAGCTGCCTTGAGATCATTCACAAGCTCCTCCCGTGTAGTTTTGGGCTGATCCCTCACTTTTTCTCATGATCATCCTTACCCCAGTCTATATCCCGCCATTTGTAGACGCTATAACTTTCACGTAAACCAATTAATTTACACAAATGGGATTTTTTTTTAGCAAAGACACGGAGCAGAATACATTTCGGCCTAAATTTATAACAAAATTTTATTTTTTAAAGTTTTGTCTTAGACGTGTTTAATAGCAAAAAGTAAAAAATATTGTTTTGCTTTTTCTTTCAAAATTGTTGGTCTTTTTTTGTTTATAGCACAAAAAATAAAAACCGCAGCGGTGATCCAATACCACGGAAAGAAAGCGCAATTTGTGGGGAATAAAAGGACATACATTTCATTTGGGTGCAGCGTTGCATGACTGTGCAATTGTCAGTTAAAGTAACACAGCAGCGTATCGCAAAAAATGGCCTAGTCAGGAAGAGGGGGAAACCTCTGGAGGGGGAGGGGTTAGGAACTCATTATTATCTTGAACTCCCCCCACCCGTAACTACTTCTTTGGCCCACGATCTTCCCAAATGTCAGGGAAAGTTGATCCAGGGAATATCTGATTGCCTCTCGGGGGGTCAGGAAGGAATTTTTTTCCCTGCAGGAGCAAATTGGATCGTGCTTTGGTGGGGATTTTTTGCCTTCCTCTGGATCAACTGTGGCTGTAGGATTATTTATTTGTTACAGGTACTTATATAGCGCCGTCAATGTATGCAACACTTTACATATATATTGTACATTCACATCAGTCCCCGCCCTCGAGGAGCGTGCAATCTAAGGTCCCTAACTCACATACTGGGGCCAATGCAGACAGGAGCCAATTCACCTCTCAGCATGTCTTTGGAGTGTGGGAGGAAACCAGAGTACCTGGTGGAAACCCACGCAGGCACAGGGAGAACATGCAAACCCCAGGCCGTGATTCGAACCAACGACTCGCATACTGCCAGGTGGAAGTGCTAACCACTTAGCCACTGTGCTGGTCGGATTATAACTTTTATTTTTTACTTTTTTGTTATTTGATGGTTGAACTGGATGGACTTTTGTCTTTTTTTTTTCAGCCAGACGTAAAAAAAAAAGGCCTGGTCAGGAAGGGGGGTAAATGCTCTGGAGGGCGAGGGGTTAAAGAACAAACAGGCAGCTGTCTGAAACTGAGTGAGAAAGTCCTGGATGGTTAAAAGTCACACAGCTGCCTCTAGGCGGGAGAGGTGGAGGGGAGCCAGGGCTGACAGACAGATGAAGGAGAACACACCCCCGAGGGAGCCACCGAATACCTACCCAATGCTGGAACCGAGGGAAAGCCCAGGTGAGACACCCACCAGGGAAGCTGATAACAACCCACTCCACTCCTCCTGTCTGGAACCAACCACTGTGTCCTTGTCTGCTGGCAACGTGGGCTGATGGGGCAGCTGCTTCGGCCCCACAACAACGACTAGGCCTGGGGCAGCTGCCCCTTTTGCCCCGCATTAAAGATGGCCCTGATGGAAGGCAGCAAATCAGTATGATCCGCATGGAAGGAAAACCTTTGAAATATTTGTTAAAAATATTCTTTCCAAATATATTGACATATAATTGAAATGATACAGTTTTTGGCCATATTCAATATATTTCAAAATATATTTCAATATATATATATATATACACTGCAAGTTGAAATGCATTTTTTATACATTACAAAATATATGAAAAATATTTTTAAAAATATATTTTTTTAAAATATATTCTTCAGATTTTTTTTTTTATATATAAAAAAGTCATTATAACATATATTTTTACATATATTTGTAAATGCATTCCAAAAATGTAGACTTTTATTTTCTATGTATTTCTAAAGATATACAGTATATTTGAAATGTATTTTTACAAATATTTGTCATATATTTTGTAATAAAAATGCATTTCAACATGCAATATATTTATATATATATATATATATATATATATATATGTATATATATATGTATATATATATATATATATGTATATATATATATTTTTTTTTTTTTTAGGACGGCACAGTGGTTAGCACTTCCGCCTAGCAGTATTAGGGTCGTCAGTTCAAATCCCAACCATGGCACCACCTGCCTGGAGTTTGCATGTTCTCCCTGTGCCTGCGTGGGTTTTCTCTGGGTACTCCAGTTTCCTCCCACACTCCAAACACATGCTGGTAGGTGAATTGGCTCCTGTCTAAATTGTCCCTAGTATGTGTATGTATGAATGTGAGTTAGGGACCTTAGATTGTACGCTCCTTGGGGTCGGGGACTGATGTGAATGTACAATATATATACCGTATTTGCCGGCGTATAAGACGACTTTTTGACCCTTGAAAATCTTCTCAAAAGTCGGGGGTCGTCTTATACGCCGGTACACATGTTTAGGGGGGCTGCGGCATTAAGTACAGGGGTTTGCAGGGGCTGATGTCTCTTACCTGGATCCAGTCCCACGACGATCCGGTCCAGGAAGCGCGGCGTCTCCTTCAGTTCGGCCACTGGATGTTCGTGCGGCCGGCTGCTCGGCTCCGTCTCCTCACCGGTGATTGGCCGCCAGAACTGTAGCTCAGGAAAGGCACACAGGCGGCCAATCACCGCGAGGGGGCGGAGCCGAGCGGCCCCCGCGAAAATTGAGTGCCGGAGCAGCAGGTAAGTGTTCTGTGTAGAGGTGCTGCTGCAACCACATATGCTGGCTGCAGCAGCACCATACGAGAACAGGGTCAGCAAGTCTCAGTGGGAGGAATAGTGCCCCATCATTGGTGTCACTGATACCAATGATGGGGCACTATTCCTCCCACTGACACCAACGATGGGGCACTATTCCTCCCCCCCACTGACACCAATGATGGGGCACTATTCCCCCCCCCCCACTGACACCAACGATGGGGCACTATTCCACCCCCCACTGACACCAATGATGGGGCACTATTCCACCCCTCACTGACACCAATGATGGGACACCATTCCTCCCACTGACACCAATGATGGGGCACTATTCCTCCCACTGACACCAATGATGGGGCACTGTTCCTCCCACTGACACCAATGATGGAGCACTATTCCTCCCACTGATACCAATGATGGGGCACTATTCCTCCCACTGACACCAATGATGAGGCACTATTCCTCCCACTGACACCAATGATGGGACACTATTCCTCCACTGATACTAATGATAGGGCACTATTCCTCCCACTGATACTAATGATGGGGCACTATTCCTCCCACTGACACCAATGATGGGGCACTATTCCTCCACTGACACCAATGATGGGGCACTATTCCTCCCACTGACACCAATGATGGGGCACTATTCCTCCCACTGACACCAATGATGGGGCACTATTCCTCCCACTGACACCAATGATGGGGCACTATTCCCCCCCCACTGACACCAATGATGGGGCACTATTCCTCCCACTGACACCAATGATGGGGGCACTATTCCTCCCTCTGGTGTGCATTGGAAGAGGGTCGGCACTATGTAAGTACCTGAAATAAATAAATTATACATTTAAATATATTTTTAAATATATTGAATACGGCCAAAATTGTAGCATTTCAAATATATGTCAATATATATATTTGGGAAGAATATTTTTAAAATATGTTTCAAATATATTTTTCTTCCATATGGGGACAGCCAGGCATCCGGTATATATATTTCCTCACTACAGGTTTCCTTTCATTGCAGTCCTCATAGGCCGTAGTAGAATCCCGTGTGACCCTCATTGCAATGAATTTCTTGTTTTGTCTCATTTTATGTTCGAAAAGTGACCATCTTCTGAAGCCGACATATTTCTGGTCCTTAAAAAAACTTTTATGAGGCTTGAGGAGGAAATTGTGAAAAGAAGGGGTTAATGAAAGTATGCATTGAACAAAATATAGAATAAAAACATTATTAAAAAAGAATTGCCGCCGTACTTAAAAATGTGAGCGGCAATCTGCGGGGCCTTTGATGGAAGGCAAGCGGCTGAAATGGTTCTTTTTAACCTAACAAAATAAATGTGATTTTGTTGTAAAGCTGGAACACAACCTGCAGACTCCGGTGACTGTGTATTTCCTCGGGGAAACTTGTTCAATTTCAATCTGAATTCTTTTACCAATCCCCACTTACTACCTCCCCGGGAAACAAATCCACTTTTCTGATTACTTTTTGAGTGAAAAATGTCATTTCTCGCAGGCAATTGGATGCTCTTCCCATTTTGCATTACACACACTTGTTTGTCTTTGTGAATGGTGTGTGCCGAGCGGCAGACGGAACCCCGTGTTCTGTATAATGGATTCCATTTATAAAAGTCTAGATTGGTGCGCATGGAGAGCATGGAGCTCCTTTCATAACTGAGCTTTTCACTACCCAGAATTGAGTTTTGTTGGGTGTCCCCCACCAGATTCTTAGGGACTTTGGTGGCAAGTTCTCCGCCCCTCCAAAAGTTTTCACTTCAATACGCAAACATGACAGAAGTGCAAGAAAGGCTTTGTGATTGGCTAGAATTGGCATCAAGAGCACGTACCTTGGATCCTGTCCTGCTGGAACACTGCCCCTCCTGTAGAGGCTGAACCCTCCGCCATCTTGTGCCCCACTTCATGCCGTAGGCATCCACATGACATTCCCGGCCATTTGCCTTCATATCCCCAAAGGAAGGAATGTCCACACATAGAATAGTATTGCTGCACTTTACTGGTGGAATTCAGGGAATTACACCACATCAACATACATTCTGGAGTCACATGACCTTACATAGTCAAGCAGTAGCCAACTCCCCTACAGGCTCTCCTCTACCCTGGGGTCATTAGTTCTCACAGGTCTGGTCACCTCCTCCATAGGTACACCTCTCCCGGAACCCTCCAGGGAAGTAGCCTCACACATGGAACCCTTGGCCTAGCCTACGAGGCCTTTCACAATTTTCACTAGCCCCCACCTCCACAAGGGACAGGAAGGCTACAGCTGGCTCTTCCTGAGTGAAGATCTATGTTTGCTGGCCTCCTGTCCTGTGCAGGACATACATGCAGGAGCATATTTAAAGCCAGGCAAACAAGAAATTTGCCTTGGGCGGCATTTTCAAGGGGGGCGGCATCGCCCCAGGCAACATGGACACATGTGGCAGGTGACAGAGGAAGGAGAAGCAGGTCAGGCACTGCAGGAGCCCCCGGGGGTGGTGTAGAGGAGAGGAGTCATCTCCAGAGACACCTCCTTACAGCAGCAGCAGTCTCCGCTGGGATCCACAAGAGGCTGCGGGCTGCTGGATGGTGTCAGACTCTTCCTCCTGGTCCTGATCATGGCTTAAGTGGTGCCTGGCGATGTCATTCTGTGAGCTGTGCTAGGACAACTCTCCCCCCCCCCATCCATCACTATGCCATCACTGGCTCCAGTTTGGATGGGGGGGGGGGGTGCCAAAATGTAACTCTAGCCTAGGGCGTCAGGAAACCAAAATACACCACTGCATAAGTGTAGTGGTTACATCCACATAGGTGTGGGGTTTTTGGCTCGGCTCCCATGACCCAAGTGCTGCTAAAGCTCCTCCCTACCTGGCATTTAACAGACAAGGACTCACCCATGACATCAGTGCAGGAGGGCTCTACCTAAAAGGGGCCTAGCACCTGAGGACACTATTTGCTGTAACCAGACACTATTCTGGAACAGAGCCGCCTACTGGCAAAGTACCTCCTGCACCTGCCTACAAGGGAGTCTAAACTATTTCCCAAAATAAAAAGTCATAGTACTTCCCCAAGAGTGCAAAAGGATTCTGCAAAAAAGCCCATTGTCTGTTTTCATAAGTCAACAGGTGACCCTACCAATCTGACCACTGACAGGCATTTTTGCAGACTCCTTGTGAACTCACAGATTTCACTCACCTACCTGAGAACCCCACTGAGGACCCAGGATTGGAACCCCCATGGCAAGGACAGTGACTATCTACATCAGGGTTGCATGTTCCCAAACCCTAGGGTGACCACAACTTCAACAGATGTAAGTCGTTTACCATCTTTATCTTTTCAAATGATTGAACCATTTTTTTGTCTTTGAGACAATTTTTAAACCATCAAACTACACAATAAATTCTCTCCCCCCACCCTCTTCTCATTTCTGGTTGACACCCTCAGCTGTACTAATGACCAATGACCAGTGGTCTAGGACCAAATACCTCAGACCTTAGTTGACCACCACACCCCAGAAAACTTCACCATGCTTGAGACTGCAGCCAATTGAATACTATCTGTGGTCTATTTATATTTGCACCAACATTCAAATTTTCAGGACAAGCTTTCAGGATGTACCCCCATTCTTCTAATGTCCAAGGAGTACTCAGTACAGCTTGGACTTTAGAAGAAGGCAATACACCCCCCAAAGCCTGTCCTGAAAATTCAAATGTTAATGCAAAGAAAAAAAGTGGATAGTAGGTCACCATAAATTATTTAAATGACTTCATGGACCACAGTAGAATGCAGGCCTACGCGTTCCTTGTAATATTGGACCAGTATGACCTCAGAAAATGAACCTACGGCTGCTAGTAATCGGGTTATGAAGTCCCGTGCTGCACTACCTTCAGGCACCTGCTTGCATCCTCGGATGGTCCTGTGCACACCAGAGACCCCCAAACTCCGGGTTATACAAACTGAAATGGGAGTTTGATGGTCGTCCTTTGGCCAAACCCCTCCTGCCTACATGCCTTCTTATTGATCAGTGAAGAAATCCTTCATATTTGATGGGTAACGGGGGGGCGCAAAGGACAGAAAGTCACTGTGATCACGCAGGCTCTGGTTGCAATTTGTATAAAGGGTGATGTTCCCTGTCACTGGGGACAACTCACCAATGAGAACATAATTGCACTTACAGAGTTGGTCCCTCACCAACCTGACCAGCAAGGGGTTGTTCGGTCATTGTGATTCTGCAGTGTTTGTGGCCAGAGAAGAAGTGACACCATAGAAGCAGATAAGAGCTCTCTGTAGAGATTCTGTTACTAGTGTGGTATTGCCAATGACAGGATCAGGAATGTGATATGGCCCCAATCAGGACACCAAGTTCTGTGGTTCCCACGGAACCCAGTAAAATATAAGAATGTCCAATGGATCCAGAACCTATTTACAATGTTGGCAGACCTCTCATGTCTCTTAGATAAGAAGGTCAAAAGAAAGCTTAGGATGACATCCAGACTTCTGGCCAAACTTTGCAAGACTTAAGGGAAGTAATCCAGAAGATGCAGCATCAGACATGCGGTATCCGGTAATCTTCAGCATAAAACTTGGAGAGTGCCAATATCACTCTGTCCTAAATTCTGATGATATTGAAGAATTACAAGCCAACCTCAACAACTAGACTTGGCATATGGTGTCATTACCACCACAAAAATACTCTGAGGACCATCTAGAAGACTGTGGGATCATAATGAACATCGTGCTGACCTTTTTATTTAAGAGGCCACATGTGGTTGTAGCTCTCTCAGAGGCCTAAATCCCATTAAGTCTTTGGATTAATTTGTTGCTGATAGTTTACTGTGAAGATCTGATTACTTAGAGACTGTTCAAAGTATGTTTGTGCAGATATATATACACGGCTCAAAAAAATGAAAGGAACACTTTGAAAACACATCAGATCTGAATGGGGAGAAATCTCCTGCTGGATCTCTATCCTTGCATGGACGGGGTAATGTGTGAGGAACGTAAGGACGCCCCATTATTTGATGGAAATGATCGACCTACAGAGGACTGAATTCACAGGCCCCCCCCCCAAAAATCAAAGTGAAGAAATAATGCAGCAGGCGAGTCCATTTTGGTGAAATGTCATTGCAGCAACTCAGAATGGTCCTTAGTAGTTTGTACGGTCCCCATGTGCTTGTATGCATGCCTGACAACATTGGGGGAGGGTCCTAATGAGACCACGGATGGTGTCCTGGGGGATTTCCTCCCAGATCTGGACCAGGGCATCACTGAGCTCCTGGACAGTCTGAGGTGCAACCTGGCAGTGTTGGATCCCAGAGGCGTTCTATTGGATTTAGGTCAGGGGAGTGTGGGGACCATTTAATGGTATCAATTGTACACCCCTTGAGGGTTAGGGACTGATGTGAATGTACAATATACATGTAAAGCGCTGCATAAATTGATGGCGCTATATAAGTACCTGAAATAAATAATAAATAAATAAATTCCTTCATCCTCCAGGAACTACCTGTATACTACATGAGGCCAGTCATTGTCGTGCACCAGGAGGAACCCAGGACCCACTGCACCAGAAGGAACCCAGGACCTACTGCACCAGGAGGAACCCAGGACCCACTGCACCAGGAGGAACCCAGGACCCACTGCAAGGAGGAACCCAGGACCCACTGCACCAGGAGGAGCCCAGGACCCACTGCACCAGGAAGAAACCAGGACGCACTGCACCAGGAGGAACCCAGGACCCACTGCACCAGGAGGAACCCATGACCCACTGCAGGAGGAACCTAGGACCCACTGCACCAGGAGGAACCTAGGACCCACTGCACCAGGAGGAACTCAGGACCCCCTGCACCAGAAGGAACCTAGGACCCACTGCACCAGGAGGAACTCAGGACCCACTGCACCAGGAGGAGCCCAGAACCCACTGCACCAGGAGGAACCCAGGACCCACTGCACCAGTGTAGGGTCTGACAATGGGTCCAAGGATTTCATCCCCATACCTAATGGCAGTCAGGGTGCCATTTTCTAGCCTGTAGAGGTCTGTGTGTCCCTCCATAGATATGCCTCCCCAGACCATCACTGACCCACCACCAAAACGGTCATGCTGTACCGTGTTACAGGCAGCAGAACGTTCTCCACGGCTTCTCCAGACCCTTTCACGTCTGTCACATGTGCTCAGGGGGAACCTGCTCTCATCTGTGGAAAGCACAGGGCGCCAGTGGTGGACCTGCCAATTCTGGTGTTCAATGGCAAATGCCAATCCAGCTCTATGGTGCCGGACAGTGAGCACAGGGCCCACTGCACCAGGAGAAACCCAGGACCCACTGCACTAGGAGAAACCCAGGACCCAACGCACCAGTGTAGGGTCTGACAATGGGTCCAAGGATTTCATATCCATACCTAATGGCAGTCAGGGTGCCATTGTCTAGCCTGTAGAGGTCTGTGCATCCCTCCATGGAGATGTCTCACTAGACCATCACTGACCCACCACCAAAACGGTCATGCTGAACCATGTTACAGGCAGAAGAACGTTCTCCACGGCTTCTCCAGACCCTTTCACGTCTGTTACGTGTGCTCAGGGTGAACCTGCTCTCATCTGTGAAGAGCACAGGGTGCCAGTGGTGGACCTGCCAATTCTGGTGTTCAATGGCAAATGCCAATCCAGTTCTATGGTGCCGGGCAGTGAGCACAGGGCCCACTAGAGGATGTTGGGCCCTCAGGCCACCCTCATGAAGTCTGTTTCTGATTGTTTGCTCAGAGACATTCACACCAGTGGCCTGCTGGAGGTCATTTTGTAGGGCTCTGACAGGGCTCCTCCTGTTCCTTGCACAAAGGAGCAGATACCAGTCCTGCTGATGGGACCTTCTATGGCCCTGTCCAGCTCTCCTAGAGGAACTGCCTGTCTCCTGGAATCTCCTCCATGCTCTTGTCTCCTGGAATCTTCTCCATGCTCTTATCTCCTGGAATCTCCTCCATGCTCTTGAGACTGTGCTGGGAGACACAGCACACCTTCTGGCAATGGCACATATCGATATGCCATCCTGGAGGAGTTTGACTGCCTGTGCAACCTCTGTAGGGTCCAGGTATGGCCTCATGCTACCAGTAGTGACACTGACTAAAATGCAAAACAAGTGAAAAACAGTCAGAAAAGAGGAGTAGGGAAAACAATGTCAGTGTCCTCCACCTGTAAAACCATTCCTGTTTTGGGGGTTGTCTCATTGTTGCCCATCTAGTGCACCTGTTGTTAATTTCATGAACACCAAAGCAGCTGAAACTGATGAACAACCCCCTCTGCTACTTACCTGACCAGATCAATATCCCAGGAGGATCATTGACTTGATGCGACTCGGATTACACAGTCTGCCTTTAATTTTTTTGAGCCGTGTACAATAACAGAGTTAAAGTGGCTATAAATGAACAAAGCATTTCTCTCTATCGTGTTTGTTTGCCTTGTGTCCAAAGCACTGAGTATGATTTCTGTCTGCTATCTGTATGAGTCACGTCTGACAGTCTATACCAGGGGTCCTTAAACTACGGCCTGTGGGCCGGATATAGCCCGCCAAAGCCGTTTATCTGGTCCACTAGGCCAGCTGGAAAAAAAGAAAAAAAAAATGGACCAGCAAATAGCTAGGCCACGAGGACCCAGCGAACGGCAGCCTGGGAGAGGAGGAGCGCACACCAGGCACCAGCAGCAGTACATTGCGGTGTCCAGTGTGTTACAGACTACAGTACATTTTAAATATTGTATTTTCCTGTTTTTTTTGCACCACAGATGCACATAGGAATCTGTTCATTTTTTTTTAAACTATAGTCCGGCCCCCCAAAAGTCTGAAGGTCCGTGAACTGGCCCCCTGTTTAAAAAGTCTGAGGACCCCTGGTCTATACTGACACCAGACAATCCAAGAAGATGTCCCTTCCTTCCCCTTCAGTACACAGCAAGTGATTGACAGCCTCAGCTGTGCATGTTTCCCTATGAGACTGTGTGGAAAGGTGTGTCCATTTCTTCCACTCAGGTCTCAGATTACACTTTGGGATTTTGAATGGATGAAGATGAGAGAGGTCTGCAGAGAAACAGGTACAACTTACGCAGATGGATTTGCTTCACTGTGTATTTGAAATGGTTTAGAACCTCTTGAAATACTTTTTGTTATTTTGTTGTGTGTGTTGTGTGTGTTGTGGTTGATGTTACATTGTAACACATGTGGATATAAAGGGGCTGATTTACTAAAACTGGAGAGTGCAAAGCCTGGTGCGGCTCTGCATAGGAACCAATCAGCTTCCAGGTTTTATTGCCAAAGCTTCACTGAACAAACTGATGTGAGAAGCTGATTGGCTCTCATGCACAACTGCACCAGATTTTTGCACTCTCCAGTTTTAGTAAATCAGCCCCAAAGTGAATCTAAAGCTATAACCTTTTGATTGAAATGAGGTAAAAATGAATCATTTGGTGTTTCCAACAGAGAAAATAGGAGGAAAATCTTCCAATGCGGAGGTGCGATCCCATGATGACGTTACCTTACATTGGTTAGTTTTCCTCTCTTCATGTTGTGTATATAGGGAGTGTAGCACCCTCCTGGCCAGCTAGGGGGAGCTAGAGTTTAATTGTTAGTGAGGAGGGCTGAGTATCAGCCTGGGTGTGATAGCTAGTAGAGTCAAATTTGGGTCAGAGCTGAGAGGCAGAGACTTCCCCCTGCACTAGGACTTTGGAGAAAGTTCTAGAAGCAGTGGGCGAAGGTAAGGAGTGGCTAGTCTGCGCTCTCCAGGGATCCTGGCCAATCCCCAACTGGAGGCTTGGCTTGGGGCCAGGACAGCCCTTAAGAAGAGTGACCGATCCTGCTTAGTGGCAGGAGGATTCGGGTGGAAGATGGAGAAGTGAGGGGCTGGAGAGCAGGAGACTGGGAGGGGGCCTAGATGGAGAGGGCTCACCTCCAGGAAAGGAGGAAAACTCAGCACTTCATCAGCCCCCAAAGAGAGGACCACCTGTGTAGCAGGGAAGGAGCGGCCCAGCTAGAAGGCCTGGTAGCAGCCATCAACCCATCACCGATGGAGGACTGAATGAGTAGACCTGCACCCCCTGGGCACTTCAGTGGGAAACTGGATTATCTGACTATCCAGGACCAGAGGAGGACTGACAACTCATGGGGCCCTCAGGCCATAGGAGATCATGGGGCCTTCTGTGTCCCCACCCATGTTCAAGCCATAGCCACACAAAGCCCCCTACTTATTGCACTGCCCACATTCCATGTGTTTGTTCCTGCAGAGGCAGCAGCTAAGGGTGTCCACATACTGGGGCATGAATTATACCCCCCAGCACTTTTTGCTGGGTGATTGCGACCCTTTTAAGTGAATGGGGACGCTCTTCAAACACCCTGCAGCCCTGTGCAATGTACACAGTTGCAGCGTGCTAGTGTGGGATCCAAGGGGTTAATGTAGGTGGTGAGGAGGGAAGACAACGCCTCCTCACTGCCTGTTTTAACCCCTTGATTGCTGTACTGCACAAGGTTTCAGGGCCCTTGTAGAGTGGCCCCATTCACTTGAATTGCCAAGCGTGACAAAGTGTATAATTTCTTCTGCGGCTGCAACATGTGTACACCCCTGGTCACTTCAGCTAAAGGGGGGGTGCAGTTGGGGGAGGTAATCAGGACCCTCTCATGGAGCCCCTTACTGGCCCTGGGCCCTCAGGCAGTGCCCGGGTGCCCTAATGGTCAGTCTGCCCCTGTCCAGGACTGTCTTACATTTGAAATGATAGGCACTGGTGTTCTTGTCCAGGGATTCCTTCAGGCAGCCAGATCAAGGAGTCATCTGGGGTCTGGGGTGGTCCTACAGAAGATGCTCTCCAGAAGAGTCAAGACTTGTAGATTGTTCCAGGAAAGTTTGACTTCGGTTGCCATTCCCTTTGGGCGTCCCATACACCCCTCCCCTATCCAAGTTCTCATACACCCCTCCCCCCATCCAAGTTCTCATACATTCCTCCCCCCATCCAAGTCCTAATTCCCCTAATAGAATCCAAAATCCAAGCTGAAGGACTGGTAACTGTCTCCTGGATGCAAGTCTGCATGGAAATGTGTGTCACCTGGCTGTGCAGGACTATAGGGGACCCAAACTTCAGCGACTCCTAAAGGGGTAGAAGGGGTAGTGCTACAGGAGATCTCTATACATTGAACCAATCGGAGATCAGTTGGATAATGAATCGATGTGTATGGCCACTTTGGCAGCCTGCTAGCATGTGAAAGTTTCCCGCGTGTTCAGAAAAACTGACATACGAGAGCAAGCCGCCTGCCCGACCCAGTGTGACCGGAACCCACGGAAAACTGTCACATGATGGCAAGCTGCCGACCCGACCCAGTGTGTTCCCTTTTATTTTATAGTGAAGTCATTTGTGTGTCTTCTTGTATTTCTTGTATTTCTGTAACTTTTTATACTTTGTACATATTTTATGCTCCGCCCACTTTGGGAAATTAAATCCTAAAATAATTAGTGACTTCTGTGTATTTAAGCTCGGGCTCATATCTCTGGAGAGATTAGATTGGAGATTGGATTGGAGAGATTGGATTGGGAGAGATTGGATTGGATTGTATTTTAGTGCCTTTAAACGCTCGGTCAAGCTCATTGCCAATCTGTATGCAATTGCACTGTGTGTGGGCAGATTGCATGCAGATTGTAAAGGTAACAGATCGGCCAGATGGAGATCTGTGTGTGTGTGATGTCTCAACAGACCGTTCTGCGGATAAACTGTTGGGTGGTGGCAGGCTACCTTTTGTGGTGTGTCTGGTGTGGGTGTGTGTGGACGGTGGAAGGGTGATAACATCG